AGTAATCAGCGAAAGTGTGAGCAGTAATTTGCTGGCCAATGTAGCTTAGATACATTTGGAAAATTAGCTAGCTGACGCACGCAGAATGTTAGATTAGCTGCATTTACGCTAGAATGATTTTAATGTGCACCAGGTGGGCAATATCATTTAACGAATGCTGCTCTGTTTTTATTTTAAGATTATTTAGTTGCATTTTCAACGCTTTGATTTTTCAATACCAACAGAGAGCGGAGGGCATGAAGCGGTGGGGAGTAGCACTGTTGTCGCGCAGTAAGATCCGACTGTGTCAATGAGACAGTCAATCCCTTTACGGTTCATTCATTCGTTTCGATGCTAATTGGTACTGCTGCTTGCCAGGAAGCCAAACATACCATCGGCTTGTTTCAAATGACTATGTCTGCTATTAGCATTTGCTACCGCTTGAACCACTTACCGATGCCTTCGTAAAGAGCGAATAAGGAGAGGGTTTTTGACTACTTTAGATTATTCTTGGTTTCAGTTTTTTTCGGTCTATTCTTGTTCCATTTCAAATGCAATGGAGAGATGGCCAATATGGTTGTGGGATAGGAAGCACACTAAAATCACTGAGTCGCCAATAATCTACAGATGGTTCTCGTCGAATCGATCCCATCCCAAGCGAAGAAATAAGGAAATCGGCGATTTATTTTTATTCCCCAATGAGATTGTCCAGACTTCTAGGCCATTAATTGCTTTCAAGCTTTTACTTCCTATGGGCCTTTTTTGCTTCCAGCCGTTTAATCTGCTGCTGCCGTCTTTTTTTTTTTTGCTTCTGGGCTTTTTATTGTTTCTGTCTAGCCCCTTTTTCCTATCCCAGACTGTCCATTTAACTCCGACGTTTTTTGGTTCTTGGCTGCTTATTTATTCTTAGCCTATTGTTACCTCCAAATTTTGTGGCTATTTTCATGTTTAGTTATTTAAAAAATTCTAATTAATCTGAATAGTCGAGCAGCAAGTATTACAGCAAGCTTTTTTTGCCTCATACGCAATAATAGCAAAAATATTAAAACTTTCCAGTCCATCAGTATGGCTATCCCATGCTAGCGACCTTATTGGGATGCTCCCGCATGTCATGCGTACCTGTGTCAGACACTTTTTTTGCTGAAATTTGCTTTGAAAGCTTTTTTCTGGATTATTTCACACATCAGTGATTTTGGCGACTATTTACACTGCGCTAATACTCTTTTCGGATCGCTTTATTTGGTTTTTTTCTCAAGGATTTTATCGTTGTTAACACATTCTCAGCACGCTCAGCTCCGATTTGCTTGGCTGTACCGATGCACTTAATGTTTTGAAGAATTGAGCTCATACATAATTGAACAATATTGTATTTCGACGTCCCATTTAGCTATTCGAATTAGCTGCACTTACCTTTACGTAGGTCTGCTAGTTTTTCTTTCTATTTTGTTGTACCGGTATAGCATTCAGTGTAGTAAACTCAGCTGTCTTGGAGTGGAAAAAGGAAAATTTAAAGAAATTAAAAAATATCCAGCTTTTATGTTAGATTCCAAAATTGATCTCGGTATTTATAGCCACGAGACTTTGGCATAGTAATTTCTATGCGTTTTTGCATATATGCAAGTGCAAAAACGCATATTGTGGCTATCCATGGTGACCATCCGCGTGTGTATATGTTTGTTTATGTGTATGTGTGTGTCTATCCGGGTATTTCAACTTGGCAACCAGGGAAGCTCCAACGCTAAAATTTTGCCACCGGGTTCCCCGGCCAAGTGCCAGCCCAAAAACGCAATACTAACCTTCATGAACGTCTGAGCCCCGCATACGAGCACGTGAAAATTTTACAAGAAAACTGCTAACTCAGGAACCAGAAAAGCTGGGAGGCTGAAATTTTAAGGTGACGTTTCTCGTTCACATAGAACCTAAAGATTTCAAATTCAGCCCCCAGGTTTGCGTGGTTCCCACGTACAGGCCCGTAGAAAAAAATTTTTGGCAGAAAAGTTACAAACTCAGGAATCGGAGAAGCTGGACGACTGAATTTTTGAGGTGATGTCCCCCGTTTAAGTGCAAATCAAAGATTTCACATTCAGCACCAAGGTACACGTGGTACTCATGTATGGGCAAGTAAAATCAAGATTGCCCGTTATGTTGGTATAAGCATGCCATGTTAGTGATGTTGCTGGGATATTCCCACACGCCGGGCGCAGCGGCGTCAGCAGCTTTGTTCCGGAGCTTGCTATCTGTCTGACGTTTGTGTGCCACGTTTTAGAGTTCGAGTAAGCACCAGTGAACCCCCTTGAGCGATCACCAATTAGCTATTCGGGGAAAAATATCAACGATGCTGCCAAACTGGCTCTCGAGCCACTACCGTAGTAAAGTTCCCATCCAGAAATCTGTTACCCACCACTACAATATTTTGCAAGCGCTCTCAATCTCTACCACCCATTACACTGTGTTTTCTCGCTTTCTCATTCTCAGCTTCTCTTTCATTCCTACAATGTAAAGATGCAGGAGGTGTGAAAGATTGAAAAAGTGACCGAAGTGTAGCGCGATCTGTGACAGAGATTGAAAGGGCTCCGTTTCAGTTCTGCAGCACACCTTTGAAGGAGAAACAGAGATTGAGAAGACAGCTGAAATACAACCAGATTTGTGGCAAAGATTGAGAGGACAAATTACCTACAATAGGTGATAATTTGACTCACGTGCTTAATAATCCAAACTTGAGGCGAGGAGACGGTGATGAAGCATTGGGCAAAGCAATTAATAAGCTGCCAGCTCTACATCGCTGATTTCGTTTGCTTGTCGCGCCAAATACCCTAAAATGAGCGTTTATCTCCGTGTCCAGGTGCTGGAATATTAATCTACTTCACTTTCATTACAGAAATGGATTTGGACTCCTGTTTTCAGTAACCCGTAACGGCATTAGCCGATGTTTTAGGAGAGCTCTAGTCTCAACTCTCGATTTTTTGCCAGTTCCAGTTTGCCATCGAAACAGCGATTGAACTGTAAAGAGACAGGTCCTTACACCGGTAGAGTCGAACAAGCATCACTGTACTTTCCAAGATGTCATGTCCATGGACAGTCCCAAGTAATCCACCAGAAGAAAACGGTAAAAATTGTATCATTTCCCTCCTGCCCCTGCAAAGGAAATTTTGATGGACGTTTCATTAAACTCCAGACTGGAACGCACCAGGCTTGCCGGTGCTTAATAAAAGCTAAAATTTCTTAAAAAGATATTTTCACTTCTGTTATCACTTTTCGAGATAATCTGGATGATGTCAGTGTAGAGCCTTTGATACTGCTGTGATGATTTGTATTAAAGATTTGCTAATAACGGCATATTTGGCCAAAAATCTGCATAATTTTTAGGTATGAAATGCAAATTTTACAGTTCAGTTTTGTGTCCAATGAATTTTTTTTCCAGCAGTGAAATTGCACCTTAGATTTTTGTCTCTTTTTCATGTTTTCCTTGTATGTTTACTCAGATTTGACACTTTTTTTGCCTTTTTATCGCTCTTTCCAGCCTCTCCGCTCAGCACTTTACAAAATATGACACTCCCGTCTGATTAAAATTGTCTTTTCACTTCGTCCTTCCAGCTACGTCTGCTTCTCTTGACTGGATTCCATAACTCAGTTGGCTCGTTTTTTTAAAGTTTTTTTTTCTCGAGCGAGTGAGTTTCGCTTCCCTTTCTGAGCTTGTCTCCCCTTACTTTTTTATTTCCAAGTTCAACACAGATAGCTACTGATTTTCCGCGAAACTGTTTTGTTAAAAATATGATCAGCTGCGGTTCATAACATCTTTTTGCAGATGTGAAGCGAGCACCTCTTCCAGTTACTTTGACCAGTGCTGTACCGCTTGGTGGCTGACGATCCTGACATTTTTTCAAAATGCAAATAAATCTCAATTCCCCAGACTTTTTGATTTTGCATAAAAATGACGCAGTGATCCTCTTCTTTATCACTATCGTCATCGCTGTTGTTTTGTTACTGTTATCGTTATCGGCTCGCTGATCATTCTTGCTGTCACAATCCATTGTGACTGAATAAACAATACAGATACAGCACTTGCAGTGTGAGTCGCTGGTCATTATTGATGGACAAACGTACATTTGCGAAGGCGAGTTTTCCAACTGTCCAGTAGGACTGGATCAGGCAGCAAGTTTGGATGCTCGACGAGCAGTATGTTCACTTGGACACCCGCCACTTCATCTACCACACTACAATCTATTAAATCGTTTGTTTTTCTATTCTTACTTAATATATTCAAAATAAGTACTTCGACAGAGGAAAATCCTAAAGTTGAGTGCCATCTCTCAAAGCGAGTGTTTTTTGAAAGAGAGTTTTGCTTTTTTGACATCATAAGACAATTAGTTCCTTTTCGATTCATTCATCCGTTTTGATACTAAGTTGGTACTGAAATATGCTAGCAAATCCAGTCCCGCCAAAGCTTACTTTTAAGCAACTCATCGACAGCCCTCTTCGCGGTGGTTGCTGCTGCACTTGCTGAATTTGTAAGCTTCCAAGTTCTTTAGCCCTTCACGGAGGATAAATGCGTGGCTATCGGCTTCAAATTTTTGAATTAGCGTGCTTGAAGTAACTATTTATAGGGGGAAATCACAACTTTCGATTTATCACTGTTACTGAGATTCATTTTTCTGACCTTCTGTTGCGAGATCGTCGATGCTTCTGAAGTTCGATATCCTGGATTACTGCCTCGAAAGACCTCAGTTTTATCGATATTCGGCTTTTCGGGTTACAAATGAAAGGGTACTGCTGATGCGGAATCGTTGGCATTACTTGATAGAGCTTCCGTCGTTATTAAGATGAAGCTGCGCGCCGAGCTCAGTCATGAATGAGATTACTCTTCGAAGTAATATAATACTTATTAATGAACACGAACAGCCTGGGCTAAGTGGAAATGAGGAATTATAGCAAGGAAGGGGCTGTGTTCATTGAATTTTATTATATCTACTTAATAAGTCATTTGATTTTCATCACTTCAAAATCCGGTCTCCCCGATCACTACTGTAGAACATTAGAGTTACTGTAACGAATAAGGCAAATAAGAGTTCTTTCTTCTTTTTTTAAAACTATTATCGGTAGCTAATTTTCTACTAGAAGTCGCTTACAAATGATCTGCCAGCTGGTCCTTAGGTAACAGCTGTACCGCAAAAAATACATTCATGATGGATGAAAAGAGGAATCCCCTTTATATCAAATGCTGGCACTCAGTATACTTTTTTCGCATCGCTGATGAAATTGGAAAAACGCATATTGTCTTGGTCTTGTAAAGAACACATGTCACTCACTCTACTAGTATTTTACGGTTTTTTATAGTGGCCGAAAAATTAACGAATTTTTTGAGCTGAATTTTTATGATGTACAAACACTAATTGCCTATATTGCGAATCGCATTCTAATTCTGGCCTCTTTGATTGATTTTATAAGGTTTCGCTCACGAAAGGGATTATTTTTTTAGCTGCGAAATTCTTCACCGGAGAACTTTTAGATTGCAGAATTTAGATTGAAGGATATTTCATCGTTTGATTGTTTGTTGCTAGCTGGTGTTAAACAATCACAATAACGAATTGTGATTGTTTAACACCAGCTAGCAACATTTTGAAACGATTAAAACCTTGCTGAATTTTCTCCGTCAAAATCTGATAATCCCTCTCATAAAAGAAGCGAACGTCGAGATTGCTGACAAGCTGACCACCAGCAATGCAGACGTTGCCAGCAAGCTTGTTGCAAATAAATTGTCACGGGTTTTTTAACTGTACAGGTTTGTTATAATGTTGGAAAATAGCGAAAATTTTTGCACAGCGATTGATCATTACTGTATACACATAGCAGATTATCGCCTTCGACGGCATCATTCGGTCGAACACTGCTCGAGAATCTCACGCGTTCACCGTTATCGCGTTCGCTCACCTCACTTGATAAAACCAAACTTTGGAGCAAGTTTTATGTGGACGAAGTGGAGAACGTTCAAGTAGGCTTTAAAGTTTGTGAATTGTTTTTCAACAAGAATGCCATTCCGTTCCTTCTTTTTTGAAAAAATAACTCGAATTTTTCGGAATTTTAAAGCAAACAGTGTCCTTAACTTGTTCATTCTTCTCTGTTTTGGACTTTTGTTTTTTTGGCTTTATCTTTTTCTGTTTTCGGATCACAGCCTTTCCTACAATTATCATCTGCTTCACAGCGGCGAAGGCAGTGCTGCTGAAAGAATGATAATTATGGGAAAGATTAAGATTCGAAATGGACAACATTTTTTTTTATTGGAGGGGAGCTACAGGAGGACTTCAAAGACTGAAACTGCCCAGGCTTCCATGAATTTAATCATCATTTTCTAATGGAAGAATTATTTCATTTCATCCTTCTCGCTTTTGCTCTGCAAAAAATTTCCCTTCGACCTGCATTATAAGCAAAGCGCATTAGCCATCGAACACTCCGCTACACTTCAAAAGAGGGGGTAGAGTCAAAAAATTAACGCCAGCGGGCTAGCAAAATATTCTAACAGACTAATTTTTTAAATCATGGGGATAGATTTTAGGAGCGAGTAAGCCAGGTCTTCTATATTTGATGTGGAAAGCAAAAATGAGGGGCGGGACGGAAGTGCGAAGGAGTTATTAGAACTTCTGCTTTTTTGTTTATTCGCTTCAGCTTTTGGAATCAAAACTTGAATTTTTTGTGATTTATAGCTTTCCAGAAGGTATTGGATAGACTGTCCGTGGACCAAAAAGTAATAACAAATCCACGTGCCAATCGACGACGACGCACTGTTGTGGTCACTCGAAACGATGGTCAACCGTTTGGCTTCACATTACAAGTTAGTGTTGTGCACTGTCAAACCTTAGGCAGCAAGATAGCGGACGTTTCTTCTTTTTCAGCACGAATAGTTCCAGACAAGGAAAAATTTTCTTTTTTACTTTTTTGTTAATCCTCTTGTAATTTACTCGCATAAAATAATTTCCTTGGAAAATTTCTGATACTTTTGAAAATTTTTTGCTATTTGTATCATACCATCACTTGGCCGTTGAAGTTCAAGTTGAGCATGATTTTCGGGGAAGCTGATTGTAGCACCTTACCTTTTCATAATTTTTGCACAAGCGCCTAAATTCTTTTTTTTTGGAAAAATTCTGGCCTTATCAGTCTATCTAGGTGGAAAGTTTCGATTTTGGAAGACGAAAAATTAACTTGTCATATCACGATTTCGGCACAATGCTTTTGCCTTTCAGACATACGTACTAAAGCGTAAGGGTGAAGAATTGCCTTCAAAAGTGACTTATGTCGATTATGTTCAGCTCGACAGCCCGGCTTCGGATGCTGGCATTCGTGCAGGTACCATCAAAATCCTGAAAACCTATTTACTTCCTTGTTTTCTTACTGATTTTGGCACTTTGATCAGCTACAGTTCGTAGCTTGATTAGCTGGCACCTACCCAGTTTCTCTGACCATCATTGCTCCATCTGTTAGTTAATCTAGTGACAATAATCTTGATGTCCTTTTTATCTTCTGAGGAGATTTCCAGCTTATGGATTTTTTCGACAAAAGCACTTTTGGCAAGGCTTTAACCGTTTAAAGACATCTTTGGTGTGCGTATACATGTGTGTGAATGCGTGTGCATGTGTGTGTATGTTGAGCAGTGATACTTCATCTCGAAATTTATCACTCTTAGACTTTGGTGAAGTATCTTACTAGTTAGGTGTTTGATGTTTTAAAAGAACTAAAGCTTAAAAATACATTAAGTAATTTTTATGTTGCGCCACTTTGTAATTTGAAATTGTGTAAAAGAAATCGGTTAAAATTTGATTTCGAATTCATATGCCATTTTCATCCATACAGTCTCTAAATTGTAGGCTCTGGAACTACTGATTTCCAGTATATTTATTTGATAATTTTTTGAGAATTAATTAATCAGTCTAAGTTATCAATTTATTTTGGATTTACGTGTGGCTCAAGTTTTAATTTTTTAGGTTCATTTTTCGTTTCACGCCTGGTTTTAGTGTATTGTGTTTTGTTTTCTAGTTAAAAGAACCTTGTGATAGATGCAGTGCATCAAACGGATCTGATGGGAGATTTTCTGGTTTTTTTAGGTGACGTGTTGATTTCGATAAACGGTCGCGTTGTGACCGGGATGAGCCATAGGTCACTAATCGAATTAATTGGCTCCTGTCGTCAAATGCGCATGGTTGTGATTTTCGAGAATATCCGTCAGCGGATCGAACTGATTGCCCGAGCGATTAAGCTTCGCAAGGTTCTGAACGATAAATTGTATCAGCTGAATCTGATCGACATCGAGGAGCAGAAAATTTTGAACAGTTCGGTTTTCCAAATCACTTAAATCCAGAAAATAAATTTTTAGCTCTTTTTGTCGGGTTTTACTAAGGCTTTGTAGCTGTCGTAATCTGGGTTGTTTCTTATCCATCAGAAGAACCGAGTTTGTCAGTAATTTTTGAAGTGAATTCTTTTGCAACACCAAAACGCAGTGCATTTGATTGATTATCTGTCTGGTGAAAAGACTAGAACTATTGGAAAGATTTCGGATAATTCTTTCATCCCTTGTGCTGCTCTTGCAAAAATTTAAACTTTCATTGTATTCTGGTATTTCTAGAAATCAATCCCACTTCAACTTGCTTTTCAGGGAAAGCTGGATGGGGGGAAACTTAAATTGTCTCATCTTTTTCTTTTCAGGAGCGTATGTGCGGACCATTGCGACACGTCGACTAAAGCGTTCCTTCATGAATTCCTTGTCATCAGCTGGGACGTCGTCTGCTTCGTCAGTGAACTCGGTTCCATCGGATGCTGGTAGTGGCGGTACCATCAGCGGTTCGGAACGAAGCATCATACGGATTCCAAGTATCTGTGTTTCAGCTAGCAACGGGGCAACAACAGAAATCGACAGGTGTCCGTTGAGAAGGCCGACAAATTTACCTCAAAGACGAAGTTTATGCGAAATTTTTAACGGACAGTCAACGAAATCGTCACCGGATTCTCTGAGGTTAACGGCTGCGGGGACAGAAATGGAGCTTCCAGCGATTCAAAGAATACGTTGTTTCGGGGTTAATCGGGTAGATTCTGACAACACGAGCTTTGCATCTGTCAGTGCGGGTGAGACGACTAGTACCAGTGAAGCACATGATATTTTAAATGGTATTAATGCCGATGATATTGATAATGGTGATAATGATAACGCCCGTGATGATATCGGAAGTGCAGTTGAAGGCAACACTTTTAAAAACATTGGTGATAATGGTGATGATGATGATGGCGATGGCGCGAGCGCTTCTGCTAATGGCTTTGATAACGCAAATGCCGGCAGCGGCACTGCTAATGCTGATAAGTTGTCAAAACAACCAGCTTTTACGGAAGCGGAAGAAGTTTTCGATTCAGTTGCCTTGAACCATGTCATTTTGCTAGACGATGATGAGCTTATCAGCAGTGATAATGAAGGCCCCCAACATATAAGGGTTTTGAAGCTCTGAAGTTTCTTTATTTTTCGCTTTTAGGTATTTGATTTTCAGTGCTTATAAAAAACTGGCAAAGTCCTTTTGCAGCTTTATGAGGATACTATCAAGATTTGGGATTCCAATAGTGAATTTCAGGTTCTTATGAACATGAATTTTAGGTCCGTGAGATCATTGCTTTCAGATTCCTATTTCACGGGTTTCAAATTCCTAAGAATCGCCTGATAAACTCTAATTCATCTTACCTCCATTTCGATTCATATCACGTATCTTCTGTATCAGTGTGCATCTTCAGGCTGAAGCTGAAGTATTCAATTGTCTCCAGTAACGTAATTTGCTAAACGATGAGCTCATCAGTAGTGATAATGAAGGCCCCCAGCATACAAGGGAGCTCTTTGACCTTCTTGTGAAGTCACTGGGCGAATTACCTGAAACCAAATATACACTTTTAAATTAGGTTAATCACGAAAAGCTAGTTTACCAGCAAAAAAAAAACACTCCGTGATTTCAGCGATATCCAATTCTTAACTGGGAACTTGTAAATAATTTTTAGGTACTTTTTTTTTAATTTTGGAAATTTCAAACTGTACTGGGGATGTACAAATGTCAGTTTCGTATCAATAACAGCTGGTGCTAGTTGCGAATAGTATCACCCAAATTCTGTGTATGAATATGACTTGTCTTCACTGGTAAATTTGCTTCTCCATCTCTCAGTACAACTGTACGCCATTTTTGCGCCTTATTTCTCTCATTCTGCGCATTTAAAATATTTTCTTGCTAAAACTCAAATAGAAAATATTCCTTTCCAAATCACTGACGCTGTGCTCCGCCCATATATCTTTCGCAATTTAAGATCGCTTGAAGCACTGCTTTTGAGCTACTATCAGAGGGCTTCCAGCGCTGCGTTATTTCTCACCATTGATAAAGCTGGTAACTTCTCCATTCTTCCTTGTTTTGGTCATCTCTCACCCTTGTAATTGTGTACAGGCATTCGAATTGTTCTTTTGACTGCTTTCATTATGACGGAACATAACAGCAGGTTTTTTTTCGAGTCTGCATCCTGTTTTATCGTTCCGCTGCCTGTGTCAGATCTTCCTCACTTACTGTACCATATCTTGCCCACAATCTACAAAACATCTGCGTACCTAATCTTTCTGGAGCCATCTTCTTTATCACTGGTGTCACTTGCTGGCATCAAACATCTGCTCGTTGTTATCAGTACAAGCTACATGACTAGTTTTCCCAAAGATCACTCGTTATTACTATCCATTCTCCGATAAGTATTTTCAAGGGAGGTTCAGCATCCCTTCTTTCCCTTTGGCTTTACAGAGTACACTGTGTAGGTAAGATCCTAAAACTGATACTGGGATTTCTCAGCGTTAATTTAACTACAAAACAATTTTCCTAGTGCATAAGTGATTTGGTTCTTTAATCTTTACATTTCGATAGATGCATCTACTACCCCTACAGTATTCCGGTGATTGGTACAATTTTTCAATGATTTTTTTTTTCTTAATACAGTTCTCCACTCAGCCACATTCCCCTTGCTCATCATTCGACAAAGCGGGTGATTTTCTTCTTTTATTGGAGTGACCTTAATTTTTCACTGTTTTATTGATGACAGATTTGAAAGAAAAAATCAATTTTGCGTAAATTTTAGTGATTTTGACGGTAAAAATGCAAAAAATCCAGAGTTTCTAACATTTTCGGGAAAAATTGGCTGAATCTTCAATAGCTTTCAACTTGCTTGATGAAGTTCTTTTTGAATCTTGTCACTGCTCAGTTTTCTCTTTCATCCCATGTATTCCATTCATTAATAATCAAACCCAATTAAATTCCGGAAAAATCGAAAAAATGATCCTTGAACTTGTTGGTCTCCGAGATATCTCAAATTTTTTCGGGATTTTTATTTCACAAAAAAACATTTTTATTTCTATTGTTTGTATAGTTTTCAAAGCGATATCTGTGATAAGCAACAAAAGTGCGATATACTTTTCTGCGTGTATGTTGTGTCATGAAAGTTCCGTTTTTGTTTTACATTTTGATAAATGATCCGATTTGCTGAAACCATAAGAGCACACATCAGGAGCTCCTGGATCCTTACGACAGTTTACACATGTTCACACAATTCTGACGCATTTTTCATTAGTTCAGTGATGACCAGAACGCATAACAAACTTGACACGCGTATCCAGGATTCTTTGCATATAAACGCTTAAATTAGAAGTCAAATTCATCTAAGTTTTTCACACTTTTGAAGAGCCCGAGTGGTAGCACACGCCAACAACACTTATTCCCTAGAACAACTTGACTACGCGTTTTTCCGCTATTTGCTTTGAAGCAAGCTGGTGGTTGATCTGGAATTTCTGGCATGTACTAGTACCAATTTACCATGGAAAGGGATCAGTGAATTGCGAGAGGAACTGATTTTCAATTTGGCGGACTAAATTATGAGAGATAATAAAAGCCTAAAAATGCCGGATCTTAAAAAATTCCAACGGAGAAGGTATGCCAAAAGCATCCGAAAGCGAAACAGATTTCAGTCATCCAATTTAGTTTGCAACTAAGGCTTGTGGATTAGATGGAATGCAGCGTAAAAAAGTGTGGATCCTAGTGAGGGAAGGATGGATGGAGGATGCGAGTTACGTCTGGATGAAACACGTGGTATCGAGCAGTGCTGCTTTTACGTAATTCAGCTGAAATGAGGTAAAGTTCGCAAGGTCTGTGGTATTGCTGATGACGCATATGTTTCCTCACAAGTGAATCAATTAATTTTTGGCAGTAAACGACGGTGTCTTGCTGGCACCAAGCAACTTCGAGGATTTCAGCCATATGTTGTCGGCCAATTATAAATTGCACTATTTGCGCAATTCGACGCAAACACTGCGCTTTGTGTACGAAATTTGTAAAAAGCGAACAGAGTTTAACAAATTTCGTTTTGGAAACAAAAGGGAGTGTAGCGTTCAGGACCCTGCATCCCGAAAATCCAACATTTGGAATTAAGCAACCTGCATCCCGGAAGTCCAACAATTGGAATTAAGCAGTCTATGTTTTGCAGGGACATCGGAATTACACAACCTGCACACGTGAGGGTCCACCGTCTGAAATCAATTAACCTGCATCCTTTAGGGCTAACATCTAGAATTAAGCCTAACCTGTATCCTGAAAATTCAGCACTCGGCGTCAGACATCTATTTAGGAAAGCAAGCCTGGACTTAGAAAAGATGAAGGAGCTCTTTTTGGGTTTATCATTTTGGTAAACAGAAAAAGGTTGTTTTTTCAAAGGATCTTCAGTCAGATGATAGTGCTTCACGTATTCTTTTCCAACTCTTGAAAAACTTTCAAAACAACTCTCGGCACAGAGAGCAGCCGTTAGTCTTGCCTACGATGGTTGCTGTTAACACTTGCGATGCTCAGAAACCTGCCGAACACTTTTGTCTACAAAAAGCGAATAGGTAAGGGGTTTGACTTTAACTCATTGCAAAACTGTATTTGAGTCAATCAAATCATATAATTATACTTGCTCTCAAATTGCTGGTTAGGATTTTTTAACGAGAATTCCTTGTGCGCCACCCTGTGTATTTATTCTTCTGTGAACAGAACTCAAACAAAATGCTTTATGCAGAACATAAAAGAAGAAGCATGGAGATCCGTAAGTTATCCAAGCAATGTATTCGTAACCTCTGAGATTAAATTGAAACCCGTAGAGCCTGTAGTGTTAGTGCTGCAGTGTCCCGTTGTTCCGGATACCTGCAGCGATTGAGTGTAATCGCTTGTCGCTACCGCATAATTCTACAAACAAAACAAATTATTGGATATTTAAATTGCGAATAGATCTCAGAATTTTAGAGTTTTAGAATATTAAGACCAACGGGCTGTGAGTGTGAGTATCCCACGTTAACGATGTTACTAAAGCGCTCCCACATACTAGACGCAGCTGTGCTATACCCTTCGTTGCGTAGACTGAAGGCCAAAACTAGACTTCTTTTTTGTCGGAACCTATAACCTATCTTGACGAGTATTTCTGGAAGATAATTTTTCTGGTCACCCAAATCCTCAGAGTCGTCACCATCTTGTTGACCACATTCTCCATGAAACTCTATATTACTCGCAAATCCCGAAAAATCCGCAAACGATCCATTATTTTACAAAATTACCTTGTAATCACTGAATTCTGCAACGGATGCTGGATTTTCGGTAGCCTCAAAAAACGATGTGGCAGATCCTTTGAGCGATGTATTTGCTGAGTGTAGAGGAGTGGTCACAGCATCTGAGGATGAAAGCAGAAGTTGAGCTGGAGTTGGAGTGTAAGTACCTAAAATCGGAAGAAACTTTTTTACGGGATAAACCAAATATCCTGAGAACTCACCAACTTCTGACAAATGCCACAGTTTTTGTACGAATGCTGCCTCCTACAGTCTAATAATTTGGAAATTACCTGCAGTTGTATCATTAGCGGTAACAGCTGTTGGATACTCGACGCGACTGCGTGCAGAGAGTAAGCAGCTTTGATCCACTTGAGGCGGATAAAATGCACTTGCAAAAGTGGTGTAGCCTAGAAAATCAAAAAAAAAA